GTGCTGATGCCTCAGGCTCGGCGCCCCCGAGTGGGAACCGGGGTCTCTTTCCTTCCCCTGTCCCCGCGTTTGTAGGGGGAAGCCTGGCTGCGGCCCGCGGGCCTCCATTCTTCCCCTCATGCCGCCTGCCCATGTTTTGCCCTGCATGCTGGCCCTCCGCCGCGGGGGCCTTCCCGGGAGAACGGTGCTTTCCTCCGGCCTCCCCCTTCCCGCTTGTCCTCCTTCCCCGGGCTCTGCACGGCCCCTCGGCCGGGTTTCATTTCAGCGGGTATCGTGGGCCCTCGAGGGCAGCGTCGCTGGTAAAACTCTGCATGTCACAGTGACGCCAGAGGGAAATACCGATACGTGTACATGTAAGAAATAGCAGGGGTCTTGCAGAGCTGTGCTGCTCGAAGGCAAGGGCTCGAGGTGCTGTCTGGTTGAGACGCTGCACCACGGTGCGTTAACTCCGGTCTCGCCCATTTGATCGCTTCGTCTGTTGACTTCCACCCCTAGGGAGAAATGCAGAGGTTGTGCCTGGCTGAACACACTTAGATGGCCCTATCGATGCAAATGGAGCTTGCAAAATGTCTGACGTAACTTTGGTAGGAGGCCGCCAGGGTGGGATTTGATCTAACTTTGGATGTCTGCAGTGAAGATGTTCGTGTCTGAGCGAGGTCGTTAGACTCCCCCGACAGCCGCAGAGGGAAGCGGGCATGTCTAGAGAACAGTCCTGCTCATCAGAAAGCAGACGTCTAAAAGCAGTTGAATTGCACCCTAGATGCGTCTTCATCTTTTGCTAACAATAAAAAATACAAGCCAAGAAGACTAGCTTAGATGTACACATTTACACTTTGAGCATCTGTCTATTTAGGGGAGAAGAATCTCACCATAGACCTGTAAAAGCTCTGAAATCAGTGTTTTCTCTTTAAACTCTTCGGTTTTAACATAGATGTATCGCTGCTTTTCTTGCCTTCTTTCCCAGTAAAAATTTGGAAAGAAAAATCACATTCTCTGCAAATTTATCCTCCAGCACCTGAGAAGTAGCTGATTCCTTGGTATTGTTTGACCACAAATGGGGCATTCTTGATTATTTTAGTTTCATTTAAGTGAGTCAGTGGCCACCTGCTGATTCCAGGAAAGCACCTGCCTGCACAGGTTACTTAAATGGTTTACCTGAGACAGCTGTGTTGAAATGTTAGTAACAACTGTAGTCTAAATTTCCAGCAATCATTCAAATCCTTTTGCTTTTTTTTTTTTACTCTAGGTAAATGCAAAACCTACAGAAATCCTCCCTCAGACAACTCATAGACTGCATCAGTGCTTGTTAAACCTCACATATACAGTTTGTCTATGAGATGGCCCTGCTACTCTCTGCCCGCTTTAAATATCCTAAAAATCCTTCTGTTCCTTGAGTTGCAAAGGAAGCCCTTCAGAACAGTAGGAAGCTCAGAACAGTAACATCAGGCTCCATCTACAAACAGAAAGAAAAGGTGGGTAGTGTCTTCCGGTGCTTTGCAGAGAGGTGTAAATGTTAAAGCTTAATTTGAGGAGTAACAATATTACCACTTGAAAGTAGAAACATTTTGATACTCTAGAATAATCTCTCCTAAAGAATGTATTCTCACTCTCTTTGTGATTAGAATAATTTGGTGCATGTTATGCTTTTTATCTTTTCTTCCAGCATTGAAACCTGTCTTACAGAGATCAGAGCTTATCTCTGTCTTAGCGGTTTCAACCTAAATGACTGGTTAAAATTAGGCTTAGTTCCAGAATGCCTCTACTAACAAGTTTCTGAGCAAAGAATCTAGATTCTTATGGCTTTCCAGCTAGGAATTTCATGCTGCTGGAAGCCTAAGGTATCTCTCTGTACTATTACAACACAGTACATATTCAGTTTCCCAGAGGCATTTCAGTTTCACAGGATCCCTCCTCCTACTTCAGCCACCTAGTCTGATCCTTTAGAGAGTTTACAATGACCACTGAATCAACTGGCAGTTGAACCCTTGCAGGACCAGGGCCTTACAAAGAAAGTCATGCTGGCTTTAAACCAGATTGACTGTTTTAAGCTAGAGTCTTTTCTTAACTACTCAGCTTCTGCCCACTCACAAAGCTTAGGCTGTGGAATGCAAGCCACAGATGCGTTGCGGAGTTCAGAGACAATCTGTACAGTCAATATTGTTCTGATTTTTTTCTTCTCCTCTCACATAATCTCATAACAATACATTCTTCTTCCACACCTCTCTTCTATTGACAAACAGTATTGTATCCCTTGGAGCGATGAAAGGAAAAGCCACTGAACTGCATCACCAGCACATGGCAGTTCCTTTCATTTTTAATGAAATATATGACAGCACATGGACCAGTAATGGACCTAAATAAACCACATTCATAGACCAAAGGAAGAAGATGTTGTTAAGCACTAGGTTTAATACACAGCGGGTATCCAATGGATACAACAGAAAAGTTAATTCATTCAGAATTGTAAGGAAGCAACAGTTGTGCATTATTATTTTTTTGCTCGGTTTCACCATGTACAAACATTTGAACCAGGCCTCTCAACATTAGGCAGGTCGTTGGACAGAGTAAAAGCAGACACTTGCTCATAATAACTGAGGTTATTTTCATTAAGCAAAACAAGGAAATACATATTTGGTTAGCTTAAAAACTTTTTTTTAAACAAGAATTACAGAGAGAATCAGTGACAATTATATGAAATCAACATATAGCCTCATTCCTTTTTTTTAAGTGCTGTCTTCTCATCCAGCCCCCATTACCCTCTGTGCTTCACACACATGGTTGTCGTGGAGACCACCTGTTTCTCTACTTTTAATTTTTTTTTCTTCCCCCAACACAAGCTACCCTGTAACAGCTGAGCTGTGGCAGGCTCCTCCCTAAACGGTCCCAAGAAAACATCTTTTCTGTGGAGTAGTGCCTGAATGCAGTGCCCCTATAGCTCTTGCTCTACTGGTAATTAATTACCTTCTTCAACTGATGAGAGGGGAATAGGCTCACAGCTCCAGGACTTTTCTTCCCACTCATCTTTTGCAGAGACCTGAGTGACTGCAGCAGAAGCCCAACCCGGGGGGATGAGCTGGGTAGGATTCAGTGCTCAACAGGTATAATTTCAGCCAGTAGGTAGGTGCAGAGCAATAGCAGCCATGATGCAGATGGGGCAGATGAATTATCTGCAGCGTTACTAATTGCCACAAATATCAGTGCTAAACTTTCTTGGCTTGGTTTAGATGAGAAAGTCTGGTGCTGCTGGGTGTTAAACATTGTACAAGTAGATGCCAATCCTTATAAGCAATTCCTCCCACAGATCTTGTAAAATGGAAGCACTTGTGGAAAGTTGCCTCTTATCTATTCCAGAGAAAATGGCAGACACCTGACACCCTGCATGCTGAGGACCTCTGTATCATTGACTTGGGCCACTGAACGACGAGGCATCCTCCAGCCGGGAAGGAGACTACAACAGTCAAGGTAGAGGGTTCCTTTGTTGGCACGGTCTCTGCAGAGAACTAATGAGTTGTGTTCATGCTCTGCTTGCCAGGCTTTTGAATATTAAAGGAAATGTAATAGTGAAAACATGAATAAGAGCCCAAATGGGACAATTATGGAGCACAAGGAGCCCCTCTGCCATATCTTTACATGCTATGATCTCTCCACCTGGATTCTCATTTGACAAGGCAGAACCCTGTTCTAGTTTTCTGGGCAGGATTGGTCATTGGCTCTGTATTTCTGTGTGGAGTTGAAGTCTCCCGCTTCATTCCTTTGCTCCAGCAAAGCTGGAAGTGCTGAGAGGCTTCTCTTAACAGTGAAGCATTTCAGGATATCCAACCTTTTACATTAGACCTTCATAAAAAATCAGCCACTTTGCCCTCCCCCCCATTGCAGAATATTAGTACAATGGCTGCAGACAACTATTTTGTTCTGAGCGGTGGATCTACAGCAGCAATTCATTAACTCCTCTTTGCCTCCAAAAAGTGCTTTCAGATCATGGTATGTGCATTGTGCCTAGGGTGCAACAACTCCTGTTGTGTCAGTTAGGGAAACCAAGGCACAACCTAGTTTCAAACTCCCAATTACAGGAATTCCTGGATTACACTCACGTGCTCAGGGCCTACCTTTCTCTATTTTCTCCTCACTGAAAGTAAATGTTATTTTTCAGCTCACAAAGTTTTCGGCGTTGCAGCTTGTAGCCAAAGCTTGTATTACTCTAACAGGGAAGCTATTTCTCTTAAAATGCTGTCTTGGGAATTTACCTTGCTGGTGGCCTGACTCAAAATCTTATTTGTAGCTGGGTGTAACAGACAGTTATAGTTCCCCCTTCCCTGCTGGGATCAGTGACAGATTTCAGAAAGCTAAGCTCTTCTGGCAGGCTGGCCTGGCTGCATTAATCTCCATGTTGCTGGGAATTTGAAATCTTTATCCTGGTTCAGGCTCAGGTACAGCTTGTTGAGGATACGCGAGCAGTGAGGATAGAGGTTATCTTTACAGTGTGAAACAAAGGTTTGATCAGATTGGATCTTGTGAGTTTGGGATACGATGGTTGAGCTTGCAGCACGTGAGACTTCCGTAACAGCTGAACTTACAGGGGCATCAGTTTGAAAAACCCAAACCTTTGGGGTCTTGAGGCAGATGGAACCGAGCCATCGGTTGTTCATTAACCTTGACATAGTTGTGCCAAAATCTCAGCATAAAGCCTGGCTGTTTGCCTCCGATTACAATGCAAGGCCGAGGCCTGCTCTAGCTGAGACAGGAGTTCTTGAGCTCCAGCTGTCTCCCCAGCGTGGCAGCTGCATTTGGGGGATGTGGGTTTATGATACCTCTCGCATCTGTGATGTGTCCCCTTCTGCTCCACTCCCACCTTGCCAACATAGTCAGAATCTTCAGCGCTCTTTGTCATGTGATTCAAGATTTTAGCGGTAGGAGCTTTCACTATATGGGCATTGGGAAGGAAGAAAGCCTAGTGGGTGGCACTGTCACGTGAAACAACTTCAAAAGGAAAGCAGCACTCAATGGAGAATTAAATGAGCAAAGCCTGACTCCCCTAATGCTCTGAGGCTGGCTGGCAGCGTTTGCAGCCTCTCTTAGTTTTGCATCTAGAAGGAAGATTAGCAACTGTTATACAGAAAACAGATCTTGAAATAAGCTTCCCTGTCTCAAAGCTCATAGGACACAAATTCTTGGGGAACAGGAATAAGAGAGAGAAAAATACATTTCAATCAAAGGACTGCAAAAAAAGTATAATTCGTCAAGTTTTGCAAACCATATGAAAACAATTCAGAAGTGACACAAAAATATATATAAGTTTGAAAAATACTTAAAGAAAAAAGTACAGATCTCACAATATCAAAACAAATGACGTATGGTTAAAAAGGAAAAAAAAAAAAAGACATTGAATAACACCATACTGGCAGAAAAAGTAAACCTCTCCAGGGCAGCTGTGTTCTGTCATTTAAAGTGTCAGTTTGTGTATCTAGGATCTGTCTATAATGTGCTCAGCAATGACAACATTAACTCTGAGCATTAGAAGAACCTCATAGCAGCGAGTCAAATCTGAGAGCAATGTATACAAGGGAAGAGAGCAGTGAGGGTTACTGTGCTCAGAGGCCTGAAAATGTCCCAACTCACATGGCCCTGGTCTCCTCTTACTGCTACCAGACATAAAAACCTTTTCTAAATCCCTTCCAAGGGCAGATTTGTGAATCATGAAAGAACCGTGACAAGCAGAGGGCTCTAAGGACAGACTGCACAACGTGTTGTTGAATGCCTGGCTGTGAGGCAAACCTTGGCCTTTGGCTTCTGGAGCCTTTATAGGTTTAGCATCTTAGAGGTGAAGTTTAGCATCTTAGAGTCCCTTAGTGGGACTCTCACCTACATCATACAAACTGGAGTAACGCCGCTGAGGCGAGTGGGACTGCACTTTAGTGCCAGGGGGAGTCAGGTAAGAATAGGGGCTTTGGCTTCCCAGAAGAGGGGGAAGACGCTGGGTAGAACAAGAGGTGCTGTTTCATGGGATCACCCTCCAAAGGGTGCCTGGAGACTCCCCGTCTCAGGAGAGGACTTCAGCACCTCCCGTTACAGCATTTGTGCTGCAGTGAGCTTCCAATAAAGGGAGATTACTTTGCACGGCTTGCACTGTTGCAGACTGAAAAAGAGCAGAACAGCTCCAGTCTGTTACTGGGACTTGCACAAGTGGTACAAGCGGCTCTGGACTGGGGCCTAGTAGAGCTTATTATGTAGAGGGGAAATACGCTCTCTGGCATTTGTAGCCCTTCCCCATAAAACAGAACACAACTAAAAAGGTGGTGAAGGACTGGAATGAAGATGTGTAGCCCTTTGTGAACAAACCTTGCTCCTTGTTGCATGGGCTCCCTTAGAGAAAAGCTCTGTGTTGCCAAGGATATGTAACTGGTTTCACTGGTCATCCCTGGCCTTATGAGGCTGTCTGGGCTGGCAGATCCTACTGTACTGCCAGAGGGGACAAAAGAGACCTCTTGACTTTAACGGGAATGTCTTACTTCCGAATGACCCACATACTATTAGCAATGCTTCCATTAATGTGAGTCTTCTATAAAAAACCCTTAAGGGAATGAATTAACTTGAAAAATCTTTCTTCCCCATTTCCTCAAATTACAAATACCACTAAAAAGGTCGTTTCTTTTGGTCTAAGTCTCTGGTATTGTGTCCCCCAACCTCTTTAACCAGATAAATAACCCCACTGAGGAGCCGATACTGATTCAGGACTGGTGTTCTTGCAGACATTACAGGACCTCATGCAATACAGCAAAAGGGAATTTTCTAAAAGGTGGGAAATAAAAACATCACACTAGCGATCACGCAACTAGGTCTTCAAGCTCATGATCATCTGAGGCTCTCTGTATAGTCTAAAATAAAAAGGTTAAAAGATACGTAATGTAGTTGTCTTTGTTTTTTGTTTTCTTTTTATACAGAAATCATACACACAGAACTTCAACCTGAAACTTCATAACAAAAAAGTCCACTAATTTAAGGAAAGCATTTTGTTGTGCAAAAAGTCCCTCCCCCCTCCCCTGTTCACCTTCATCTACTGAGGGTCTCACACACACACATAAAGTTTCCTTCCAACAGGCAAGTTGGTAAGAAAGAGTCCTCCCTATATACAGTGAATTAGAGAGAAGCTGGATACAGTGCTGGCAAGAGGCATTAGGTGATTGCCTCTATCTGGAAGTGTCCATGTTCTCCTCCTTAAAGTTACTGCAGTGCTCTATAACTTTCCTAGGGATAAAACAAGGACAAGGAGAGAGGGTTTAGTTTAAAGCTTATTGCACGACAGTTGTGGGACAGCAACATAAGAACTGTCCAACAGCTTGATCTCTAAGTAAATGCATCCTATTTGCAGCAGGCAGCCTCTTTTGAGAACTGCATCCACTGATATTTGTGTCAAAACCAGTTTACTCCACAAAAGCAGCCTAGAGCTCACGGTTCATCCCCTTGGAATTTCAAGTTGTGTTGGTATACATCCTGCTGCCCACCCACCAGACACGTATTCTGTCTCTCTTTTATACTCATCCTGCAGGTATGAAATTATAGCTCCCAGTGTGCCAGTGAGTCAAAACCACAGCTGGCTTTTAAAACTCTGAAAGAATGACTCCAAAGGAAAGTCATGTAACGCAGTAAGTTGGGGAAGCTCACAAAGGCGATGGACTCGCTCCACCTTTTGAAAAATCCTCTCGTTCTAATGGTGCAGTCAGCAATTTTACTGACAGGCCAGTATGGTTCTGGAGACAGGGAGCCCACGCAGGTATGGAGAATAGTGATGATTGGAGACTATCGGCAATTAGCCACGCGGCTCCCCGTCCAACAAGCCACTTCTATAACCAATTTGCCTGGCATCCATCAACCCTGAATGATCTGAGTGTATTGCCCACCTATAAACACCTCTCTAGTCTCCTGTTTTTATCCTCTTTCTCCTGCTCTTCTCCTGTGTTTGCTTCTTACCCCTTGTACACACCAGTACAGGCCTTTCTTTGGCAGCCCTACTGGATGTAGAAGAATAAAAACTAAACTAAAGTTAATTGAATGTTATTGATAATAGCACATTGGTTTCCTACCGGGCCATTTCCTTGGTCTCTTGCCGTGCTGAGGCCATTTTAATCATGTCCTTCAGAAGGGGAATCCCACCTTCTTTGATCAGCAGCGGGCAGTACTTGTCAGCTGCAGAGAAAAGAATAAAACAGGTCCCTGTGAACCTTCACGAGAGTGATATAAGGGGTGGCAGGAGGGGAAGGAGAAGCCTGTGGCCTGAGAAGCCACAAAATTTTTCTTTTTTATGGATCCAGCCTGATAGGGGTGCCCTGGCTGTGAAAACAACCAACACAAAATGGCTGAGAACAGAGAAGCACGGCCAGAAGGATCGAAACATTGAAGGCATTTCCTACATGCTAACTCTCATTGTTTTTTGTTTGGCTGTGCTGCCTGGACATTCCTGCATCATTCAAAGAAGGTTCTCTCTACCTACGTAGCTAAGGAAGACTTTTTCAGCTAACAAGCTCAGATCTACACCCTCAGCTTTTACAGTGCAGTGGCTGGGATTTTGAAAAGGGAACTTACGGTAGACAGAGACCAGGTTATACAGCGCCCAGGTAGCCCAGTGCTGGCTGACTGGGGAGATCCCTTGTGGAAGAAGTCGAAGTATTGGTTCAAATGACCTGCACAGAAATATTGCAGAAGATGTTAAAAATCCAAGAGCTGCTTCTTTCAGCACCTTTGCCACTTAAAGCAACACAAACTCAATGCTCAGAGATACCGCAGCAGTAACTCCAGAGGCATATCAGAGATCCTGGCATCAAAGACTGCGTCTGTGTCACACGGCAGTACTGGCAGGCTTACAGCCCCTGCCACTTTTGCATAAACATGCTGCCCAGATAAATAGCTGCAACGAACACAGCTGAGTCCAAGAACTGATTTCCATCCTCTGTCAGTCATTTCCTCACAAAATGCAGCCGAAACCCAGCAGCACTGACTTTTCTGTAAAGGGGCCAAAGCAAAATTATACCCAGCCAAAGCTGGCTGCTCACGTGCAACGGTTGCTGTGTTTCTTCCGACAACAATAATGTGTCTATACTGTAGCTCAGGCATTGGAATGCCATTCGTTCTGGATCCCTGCCAGGCACTATGGGAATACAGAGAACCTGATACCCTCTTACAGGAAGGGCTTTGGAGGATTCCACCAGTTGTATTAACCCTTGAAGGGATTTTGAAGAACTGTGTCTAAATATCCCCCAGAGGAGAGTGAAAGCTACAGCAAAATCCATGTGACTTTCAAAAGCAAATAGCCTTAAGGAGATGCAAAGGACAGCAGTCTCAGAGGAGAATGCTTAGGCAGTCCCAGATGGGTCAGATCATGGGTTTCCTAACTATGCAATTTCACCAGAAACATGAAGGAGAAAATCTGTTGGGCTCCTACAGTTCTTCCATAGAAACTGCCAGGCAAGGCATCTCATTTCAGCAGCCTGTGTAACATATTTCAAAGGAAGACATAAAACCCTCACTAAATATGCCCCTGAGGATGTTTCTCCTTCACTCTAACCAGAGCCTCCATGCTGAGCTATACCTGTTCCCTTCCCTCTGTTGGTGCTTGCTTTCTGTGACAATCCTGGCTCCAAGGG